ATGTATCAACTTCTCATCTTTATTTGTCTCTTCATTATCACTCAAGAACCTTCTCATTCACTTTGTATTAATTCCCTGTTCCATTCCCTTTAGTGGCCTTTTAAAACTTTCTCTTCCTCTAGGTTCCCAAAATCCCCAATCACAAGACACTACTTCTAGCTTTCTGAGAAAACAGAGGTATTTTTCTTTTTACCTCCTGTCCCTTCCCCCTCGGGATTCCTCTCTACTGTATATTGTATTTCTCCTCTCAATCTTGGCTCCAGGGTAAAAGGTCTCTCCTGGCTCACCTGCACCCTCACTCTGGTGACCCTCCCATTGCCTAAATTCCTTGCTCCTTCAATTCTTTTCCTTGAATCTTGGAACACTTGCTGACCAATCAATCATCACTTCCTCAGCCTAACCTGGCAGACCCAGTCTTTAAAAATAAAAAATAAAGTCAAACCAAAACCTTCCCTTGACCTTGCCCCCTCTCTGAAGCTTCCTCCACTTATCCCTTAATATTCAAATTGTTAGAACAATGGTCTACATTTGTTTTGTACATTTCTTCACGGATTCCTGTGACTCCTACACATCCAACCAAGCTCACCATCTCAAGCTCTCTGGATTCCTGAAGCCCTTTCACCCTTTGGGTTGTTTACTTGTTTTGTTTTGCTTTATGCCTACTATTTTTGTTTGCCTGAGAATGTCCTGGCCATGTCTCCTCCAGTTCCTCTTCCTTCTGCCCTATGAAACAGGTTCTCCTCATGATTGTACTCTGGTTCTCCTCTTTTTCTCTTCACTCTATACTTTGATAATCCAATTCTTTGAGGTGCTTTTGACTTCTGGATCTCCTGTCTGAATCTCTCTCAAGTGCCTCTATCTGACAGAGAATCACCTATTATACTAGGGGCTCTTCAAAGACACAAACCACATTTTATTCATTTTTGAAATTCAAGCACCCACCTCCACCATCCAGAGCCTAAAATAGGGTAGCAGGAACTCAATCAAAGTCACAGAAGTTGAACTAAACAGTATGTCTCACCATCACCTGAAACTCAACCAACACAAGACTAACTTAACAGCTGTCTGGCCTTCCACAACCCAAAACAACCCAGCCTCCCTAACTTCCCTATTTCTCTTAATAACTGTATCAACCTCTAGTCCCCAAAACTTAAAATCTCAGTGCCAACTTTGACTTGTTATTTCCCTTATCCCCTATATCCTGCAAATTATCATGTGTTCTTGATTTTTATATATTTTATAAATTTTATTCATATATTTTACATCTAGCCACTTATTTATCTTCCTTCCATCATACACTCAAGGCCTTCATTATCTCCCACATATACAATTTTAATAGCTTAATGAATAAATTTCCCCATCTCTCCTCCATACTACCATTTGATTAATCTTCATTTGGTTTACTTCTAATGTATTACTCCACATCTCAAGAATCATGAATATTTATCCCTTGCGTAGCAAACTACAAACAGCTTGCCCTAACATTCAAAGTTCTTCACAATATGGCCCCCAAATGCCTGCAGGCTTGAAAGAACTAGAGATCTACTCAAGTTAAGAAAAGGGAAAAGAATTTAAAGGATACTCAGTGATCAAGTGATAGCTTTCAGAAAACAAGAAAGCTCTAAAACTCAACCACTCACTCTTTCTCTCAGAGCTGCCGCTTCTCTTTTCAGTTTCTCTTCTCCCTATTGCCCTGCTTCTTATTCTGGTTGGTCACAGTTTCCATTCCCTCATAGTTTCAGCTAACATACAGCACGACATGGCCACTCCCAATACCTCCTAAACCTTGGCAACTCAACACTTCCTTGTAGTTTCTGCCCCTACTGATAATTTAGTTCAGTCTCTAGGTTTCCCAATTCTAAATTCTAAAGAGTTCAAATGGCTCAGTCGTCACAGAAATGCCACAGAACAACCTACATGTGATCTGCACTTGGATCAGATGTCCATCCTATTCTGATCAGCTGTGATTCAAGCACAATGGAGATGAGGAAGATAATTGTTCCAGAGAATAGATGCTTTGGAAGCTGGGATGTAGGCAGGAAAGATTCTTTTAGGGGGCCTGCATTGCGCTGTAGTGGGTAAAGCTGCCGCCTGCAGTGCCAGCATCCCATAAGGGCACTGATCCCAGTCCCAGCTGCTACACTTCCTACCCAGCTCTCTGCTGTGGCCTGGGAAAGCAGTGGAAGATGAGCCAAGTCCTTGGGCTCCTGTGCCCACGTGGGAAACCTGGAAGAAGCTCCTGGCTCCCGGCTTTGGATTGGTTCAGCTCTGGCCATTGCAGCCATTTGGGGAATGAACCTGTGGATGGAAGATTTCTCCCTCTCTCTGCCTCTACCTCTCTGTAACTCTGCCTTTCAAATAAATAAATAAATAAATCTTTTAAAAAAAGATTATTTCAGAAGTGAGGTGGGCAACAGCAGGCAATGAACAACATCTCTAAGGCATTATCTTTTGACCACCTTCCGATCTATACACCACAATTCTGTCAAAGTGTAATCACTATCTCACAAACCCACCTCACAATTCCATCATTCCTTGCCTTTGTTCACACTGTCCTCTCCATTTGGAATAATCTCTGCTACCATCTAACTATCTCAAAATCTGCTATCCAAAGGATATGAATGGACATAAAAATAATTCATAAAACCGTCAATTCATAACAGGAAAAGGAAACTAGGAAAAATCATTTGAGTGCAACAAAAGAAACAAAACTGAAAATGATGTGTAACTTTATCAAATGAGCAAAACTAAGTTTAGAATGATGCATATCATAATGATAGTTTTGTATCTTCCTATAAAGTATAGCTATAAAGAAGTACATTTAATTCATGACAAAAAATTCTATAAAGATGTCCAAATATAAACAAAAAGATGAGAAACTTGCCTAATTTCAAGACTTTTAAAAATATTAGCACCAGAGCAGGTAGTATTGGGAACACAATGAAGCAGTTGGTCTTGTAAACAGCTGATGATATTGCAAACTAGTAGAATTCTTTTAGAAAACAATTTACCAACATGATTAATTTGGACAATACAAAAAAAGCTGAACAGGAAAATCAAATTACTTTTCAATACAATCATCTAGAAAAAATTACTTTCAACATTTTGGAACCAAGACTTCCATACCCTCTAATTGTGTAAAATTTTTTTCCTTTTTTAAAAGTAAAATTTAGGTAAAACTAGGTATACTATTAAATGCTTTATTATATTTTTAAAAAAACTATCTGGTGCTGGCATTGTGGTGCCACCACCAGCGGCACTTGCATCCCATATGGGCACCAACCAGTTTGAGTCCTGGCTGCTCCACTTCTGATCCAGCTCTCTGGAAAAGAGAAAGCAGTAGAAGATGGTAAAAGTGCTTGGGCCCCTGCACCCGCATGGGAGACCCGGAAGAAGCCCCTGGATCCTGGCTTCAGATCAGCCCAGCTCCAGCCATTGTGGCCATCTGAGGATGGTTTTCTCTTTCTCTTTCTCTCTCTCTCTCTCTAATTCTGCCTTTCAAATAAATGAGTAATCTTAAAAATAAAATAAAATAAAATAAAACTCTCTGTCATGAACCATTGCTTATTCCATTAATGGTCTTCAAAAATGGTTACACAGTAATCTATCATATGAACAGGTGACAATAAATTTTTGAAAAAACATTTCCTAATGTTAGACTTCAAATTTTGCCTACTTGTCCACAATTACTGATGGACTGTAATGGTCATTCTTGTATGTATCTTTTGTGCACATCTTTGATTATTATCTTAAAGCTACCTTTAAGGCAAAGGATAATTTTAAGGCAGGATAACTTGATAAGAAAAAGGATACAACAATTAAAAAGAATTTTTTAAAGGACTTCTAAATTTCAATTTAATCCTAATTGTGACATGACTGTATTAGAATAGGAAGGAAGGGAATAAAAAAGGGGGAACCGGATGATAGAGAAGGTTAAAGCCCATCACCCATAGTAGGAAGACATTGGTATGTAAAATGAAAAAACTTTATAAAGTTAGACTAAGAATTATTTATAAAAAGAAGGGGAAACAGCTAATAAAGTAGAACAGCAAACACGAATAAGATGTGAAAAATTAAGGCAGAAGATGCAGCTGTATTCATTGTAAGTTTTGTTTTGTTTGACTTTTTCAAACCATGCATTAATATTGGTTTGATAAAGGCACAAATCAAATTAAGAAGACAAAACCAGCAGTATTATTCAAATATATAATAGAGCAGATACACAAGTTGGCTTAAAAGCCCACAATTCTCATAATTAGGTAGGAAAAAATTCTTCTTTGTATATACCATTATCTATAAGCTCCCTAAATTGATCATTTTATGAATTTTTACTGCAAACCCTCTGTAAACAGAGCACATGACTAGATTCTTGGGAAGATACTAAGAGACACTCTGTATTTTTGTTCTCTCCAGAGAAAAGACAATTATCGTCAGCTATTCTCTCCACATGACTCAGCCACAGAATGTCAGAAAATTGCCCATGCAGAAACCTGCAAGTTTTCTCTCAAAATTTTTTAAAAATAGAGAAAAGTTAAGATTCTAGTTCCTCCAGGTAAAGTTTAAGAGAACAGTGAATTTTTCTCCAGAAAAATTCCTTAATTTTCCCACATACTAGAGAATATGCTATAGACAACCCTCACTAAAATATAGATCAGGAAATTGGAGAAATTAGGATAGTGGGAATAGATGAAGTATTAGAGGCCTTAATTCTCAATCTATTCACAGATTTTGCCATTTGTCCTTGATAGATTTTTTTAGTTCTTCTTAATTCACTTTGTTGAAGGGACAGAGGGAAAAAAGGAATTTTATCAAACCTCAGAAAATTAGTGCCTTCAGGGTGGGCTTTTGTCACTGCAGTTAAGATGCCTCTTTGGATTGCACATCCGGTATCTGAATGCCTGAGTTGTAGTCCCCACACTGTTTCTGATCCAGCTTCCTGCTAATGTGCACCCTGGGAGGCAGCAGGTGATGGCTCAAATACTCTGGCTCCTTCCACTTACGTAAGAAACCCAGAGTGGTCTCCAGCCTCCTGGCTTCAGGCTTTCCTAGCCCCAGCATTTGAGGAGTGAATCAGCAGATGGAAAATCTCTTCTGAATAATAAATAAATAACAAGAAACAATATTAGTACCTTCAAAAGAGTGACACCACACCCAAATTATTCCCCCTCTTCATGGGACTAATTTGCAGGGCATGTGACATTAAGTAATGAATCAGATAAGTCTCCACTACCAAAGATGTCTCTGCCTCCTTCATATTGGTAGTGCACAAAACAGTTTTACAGTCAGATCCTATCTCTTGTTCCTTCCTCACAACATCTTTCTACCCTCTTCCTCCTCTCCACTCCACATTTCTCCATGAATCTCTTCATTGCACTTTCTTTTCCATTTCTTACTTCCCTCAAACTTCATGTCTGGGTTTTCTGTCTCCTACCACTCTTCCACTTCTACCCTGCTTGTGACAGAGAACTGAGCTGAGAAGGGAGAATATTTCTCTTTCTTCCTTTACTTCCCTACATGAAGAAGAACCACATATGAAGACAGCTAATAAAACCCCAATTAACATTGTAAATATAATTCAGACTAAATTCTCTGTATGTTTTCCAGAACTTCATGAACAATTTCTCAAAACCTAAGTAGTGGATATTTGGAAGAAAAAGGTGAACATTCCCTCTTCTCATCCAAGTGTCTGTACTGATTGACATGAGTCTCTGTGCCAAGGACTAAATAATACAATGTTCAATCCTTGGGAGTAGCTACATCCAAGAGTCAAAGTGTGTGTACTACATGAAGCTTTGAACTCTGAAAAATGTAGCTTAACATCCCAAAAAATTTGATTTTTGGAGTGAACATTTCATCTTCCAGTCAGGAAGAAGATGTTACAAGAAGAATCTGGAAGGAAAGGATGAGATTAGTAAATCTGATGAATGTATCAAGTAAGAAATAGGAGAGGATGCCAGAAATAGTTGGCTGAGAAGTAATACAGCCAGTATTTAGATTGTACAACCAAGTCTTTAAAGTCTAACTAAATTTCAAAAAATTGTGTTTGAAATTATAGTGAAAGTATAATAAATCCCAAAATACCACCTTAAAACAGTCATATAAATTAGGATGGCGCCCACAGGTCTAGGACTAAAGAAAACCCATCACCAGTACTTGCTGGTAAAGATACAAACTGCTCAATAGACATAGCACACAAATTTAGGATTACAAAGTTGCCCCTTCTACCAGAGCAACAAGGCAGCTGACTCTCACTCATGGTTTTCCTAATTTATCTTCTGCAATATCATGGGCTAACAAATTCATAATCAAAGAAAAAACCTTGAACAGGCCCTCTTTCTGTTAAGCATTGTGCTAGGAATGCTTACAGGATATGCCCTATACAAAGAACAAAATATCAAAATTCTAAATAAAGGCAAGATTACTATTACCTCCAGCTCCAACAGAACTTGGCAATGTATTATTATTTATTCCATCTTTATTTAAAATTTCAACATTTTCTTCATCATGGATTTTTCTAAATTAATATTTATTTTTTAATATTGCATGGAAGTGTTATTTAACTTTGATGTTTGAGTTTTTCAGTGCTCTTTTAAATTTTACAGACTAGGTGTGATAGCTAATTTTATATGACAAGTTATCTAAGCCACGGGATGCCCAGATATATGATTAAACATTTCTGGATGTGTCTAGAAGAGATCCACCTGGTACACTAAGTACAGCAGAATGTCAACCTTAATATGGCTGAACCTCATCCGATCCATTGAAGGTCTCAATAGAAAAAAGGCCAAGTAAAGGAGAATTTTCTCTGTCTCTCTGTCTTACAGTCCTCAACCTGAGGCATGGGTCTTCTCCTATCTTCAAAGGTGGGCTCAAACTGAAACTTACACTACAGCTCTCCTGGTACTCAGGTATTCTGACTCAGACTCAGACTATATTGGTTGTGGAAGCATGGATTAATTTCTGGGGTTTCTAATCTGTTCCATTGGCCCATCTGTCCATTTTTGTGCCAATACCAGGCTGTTTTGATTATAACTGCCCTGTAATATGTCTTAAAATCTGGTATTGTGATGCCTTCAGGTTCACTTTTATTGTTTAAGATTGCTTTAGCTATTTAAGATCTCTTGTGTTTCCAGATGAATTTTAGGGTCATTGTTTTTCTATATCTGAGAATGTCCTTGGTATTTTGATTGGGATCACATTGCTTTGGGTAGTATGGACTATCAACAATATTAATTCTTCTAATCCATGAACATAGAAGATTTTTCTGTGGTTTTGTGTCTTCCACTTCTTTCCTTAATGTTTTGTGATTTTCATTATAGAGTTCTTTCATCTCCTTAGATAAATTGTTCTGTGACTATTGTGAATGGAACTGATCTTAAAAGTTTTCTCAGCCATGGCATTGTGTATGTATATAAATGCTACTGATTTTTGTGCATTGATTTTATATCCTGTAATTTTGCCAAACTCTCTTATGGGTTCAAATAATCTCTTCTAAGAGTTTTTGGTTTCTCTATGTATAGGATCATGTCATCTGCAAACAGGGATAATTTGACTTCTTCCTTTCCCACTTGTAACCCTTTGATTTATTTTTCTTGTCTAATGGTCTGGCTAAAACTTTCAGGACTATATTGAATAGTAATGGTCAGAATGGGCATCCTTGTGAGGTTCTGGATCTTACTGGAAATGTTTCCACTTTTTCCCCATTCAATATGATGCTGGCTATGGGTTTCTCATATATTGCCTTGATTGTGTTGAGGCATTTTCCTTCTATACCCAATTTGCTTGAGTTTTTTTTTTTTAATCATGAAAGGATTCTGTATTTGGAGGAACCAAGATGGCAGAATAGGGAGGGAGCTTACTCCTCTAGTCTAGAGGAAGATAGTTAAAAAAAATAATAAAAAGAAGAAGAAGAAATAAAATGGGAAGAGTGCAATGTCAGTGAAGAGTTAGGGAAAAAATGGCAGAGGAAACCACACACAAATTGGAGGCACACTGTGGATCTACGTAGAAGGTGCGGACAAGCACAACTCAGGACCCCAGCAGCCAACAGCCTTAGCTCCAGCTTTGGCAAGTGAGGTGAGATCAGACTGTGGCAGCCCAAGCCACTGGTGATAAAGCTGTGGTATGAGTCTAGCTTGGAGCCCTGTGGGAGATAGTATACAAGCCAACCTAGAGGAAAAAAGAGGGGCACGTTTCTCCCCAATCACCCAGCACCAGTGTCCTGTAACTAGCCAAATGTGGGTGGGTGTCATTTAAGACATATGTAACAGTTGCACCAGCTTATGTCTGTGCACCCAGCAACCAGCCAAGAGGAAACACCTGAGTCTTGCTGGGAGAACTGACAGGAGGCTGAGTGCTCATAACTGTGGGAGGCTTGTGTGCTGGGACTGTGAAAACATTGTGGCTGCATGAGAGGGAGCAGGGTGTGACTGGGTCTTTGGGCAGTCACTGTGGGCAGCTCCACACACTCAGGGCTCCCTGATTCCATGGTGAGGGTCATTGCTCCAGGATACATGCTCATACCGAGGACTGCATGGATCCTTTGTGTGGTTCTTATGGCAGCACAGATGAATATTGTACCCACTGGGGCTAGCATGAAGGCATTGGTCTCATTGGAGGAGAGGTGACCATGAAACTACACCAACAGAGCTGAACAAACCTCCCCTTTGATTTAAAAAAAAAAAGAGATTTGCCACACCAAATTTGGGGGTCACATTGGGCACCCCCCTCACTCTGGAGCACTAAACAGAGCTCCCTGGCCATTCCAGTACACTCCTCAGGATATTCACTGAAATAGCAGATGCTCCACTAATCCACAGAGGCATAGTCCAAAGATAAAAGCCATCACAGCAAATAAATAAATAGATAGATAGATAAATAACCAACAAGTGTCTCCACAAATGCAAAAATAAACATAGCAATTAAAGAAACAAGAATAAGAAAGACAACATGACCTCCAAAGGAACATAGCAACACTTCAGTACCAGAATGTGAAAATGAAGAGATTAAAGAAATGCCAGAAACAGAATTCAAAAAATTGCTCATAGGATTACTTATAAGTTATCAGAAGCAAATCCACAAACTAAAGAAATCCATGCATGACATGAAAGAAAATTTTTCTCATGAAACTGAGATCTTAAAGAGAAATCAAAATGAAATACAGGAAATGAAGAATTCAATAGAACAAATAAAAAATGTGATGGAAAGCCTTAACAACAGAATTGGTGAGGCATAAGAAAGAATATCCGACTTAGAAGACAAATCTCTGGAAATTTTAGTCAGACCAAAACAAAGGAGAAGGAGAAGGAGAAGGGAAGAAGGAGGAGGAGGAGGAGGTGGAGCAGGAGGAGAAGGAGAAGAAGAAGAAGAGGAAGAGGAGGAAGAGAAGAAGAAGAAACAATTAGCAAACTAAAAAACAGTGTTGGAGATCCTAATATCAGACAAAATAGACTGTAACACAAAGACTGTTAAAAGAGAGATAAAGAAGAGCACTATGCAATGATTAAGGGATCAATTCAACAGGAAGATGTGACTACTATGAACATATATGCACCTAATTACAGGGCACCTGGCTATTTAAAAGAAATGTTAAAGGATCTAAAGGGAGACACAGACTCAAATACAGTAGTAATGGGAGATTTCAATACCCCACTTTCAGCAAAGGACAGATCAACAAGACAGAAAGTCAGCAAGGGAACAACAGAGTTAATCAACACTATAGAACAAATGGACCTAACAGATATCTACAGGATTTTCCACCCTACAGCCATAGAATACACATTCTTCTCACCAGTGCATGGAACTGCCTCTGGGATGGACCACAGGCCAGGCCATAAAGCAAATCTCGGCAGATTCAAAAAAATTGAAATCATACTATGCATCTTCTCAGACCACAATGGAATGAAGCTGAAAATCAACAACTCAAGAATCTCTAGAACACATGGGGATTGAACAACATGCTCCTAAATAGAAGTATATACTCATAGAAGAAATCAAAAGAGAAATCAAAAAACTGTTAAGGAACAGGTTTTTTCCTTACTATTTGTTGAACTCTTTACATAGTATAGAGCTAATATTCTGTGTATAAAGTT